AGAAATCTTTCCAATGCCCTTCAAGAGCTGGAGGCGAATTTCGGTCAAGAATTCAGAGTGCACCGTGGGCAACTGGGGAAGCACGCGTTTGTAGATGACCGTCACAGCTCGAAACGCCGCCAATTCGTCGGTGCCGCTGAAGCTTGCGAGATGAGGTTTCAGAAGTCTAATCTGCTCAAGACTAAATAGCTTGGGGTCGGCCTTGGCGAAAATTGTGAGTACTTGCAAAGCGTCACGGCCGGTCGGTCCTCCTTCCTCCGAATCTCCGCTATCAATGAGGCCAAACATGCTGCTCACCAGGTGGGAGCATACAGAAAATGGACCTTCCAGCGACTTGTCTTTCGGCCGAAGGATGGACCGAAACACCTTGTCTAGAATCTCCGTCACGTTTCCTGTCTTGACTGTCTGGACGATCAGGGCCACATGTTCGGTCAGAGAGGTTTGGAATGCGGCCGAGTTGTCGCGGCCGTAGAAAGGAGCAAACCAGACTTCTTCAATCATCTGGCGGGCAAGGTCGCGAACACCTTCGTCGGGATCTTGTACACGTCGGAGAAGGCCATTAGCTATAGAACTGCGAAGTGCACTGTCGTGGTTGCGGAGATAGATGTCGCGGGCAAGCTTCATGGCTCGCTTCCTAACACCAACGCCGGCGTCTTGGAAGCGGTCGATGATCTTGGGTGTCAACGGAGATTCCAGAGCCGGCCTCAACGTGATGCAGTTTCCCAAAAGGCCAAGGGCAGAGTCTCTCACTTGCGTAGAGGAGTCGCTCGAACAATCGAGAATAAGTTGGATCACTGTGGAATCCCCATCTAGGATGGATGGATCCGTCTCGAGAACCTGGTTGATACTTTTCAAGCTCTTGCTGCGGACCGTTGCTTGATCACCAGCCATTGAACCAAGGAGAATGTTCAGAATCTTGCCAAAGGACTCAAAGAGCGGAGAACGCAGTAAGATAATGGAGTAGGAAAGCTTGGCCTGAGTAGGGCTCACAGCCTTGAAGGTGTACTCGTTGGAGAGCCATCGGCGGTCTTGAATCATCATTCGCAATCTGTAGGCAAGGCGTCCAAGTTCCCAGTCTCTCTCATCTTCATTGTCCTGGATTGCGTCATAGCCCGCATGTACCCGAGTGGCCCAGTCAGTTATGAGGAACGACACAGCGCTGAACAGATAGGGGTCATCTGACAGACGAGCCTGCAGGAACTCCAACGAGGCACGGTAAGGTCCATCCCAGGCAACAATCTGCTCGATTGAGCTCTTCTGTTCGAGAACATGGCAAGCCAGCGCCGCCAAATATCGCGACAGCTCGTCGACATCAGTGGTTTCGAACGTGTTGGCAGTCCGTTTGACGTGAGATCGCAGACGAGATATGGCCGCACTCATGGTACCGAGGAGCTCAAGAGCCATGTTCTTGGCGGGAGCGGGTGTCTTGGGGGCCTCAAACAGCTGCACCATCATGAGCATGAGGAGGCGCAATAGCAGCTCGGCTGATGGCCAGTCCGGGGAATCGAGACACGTCGTAAAGTCTTCAACAAAGAGATCCAGGAGATTACGGTATGGTGTGTCACCAGACTTGGTCGACCCAATAGCGCGCTTCACAATAAAGTTGATAATGTACGAAGCATTCCGCCCGGCACCTTCACTGAGAGGGGCAGCTGCTGCCTCTAGCTCTTGGATGGCGACGGCGTGCTGCTGTGCGCCTTGTTCTTCAGTGTTGATGGAGGATGTGAATTGTGTCTTTTTTGCCCGGTTATCGGGCAATTCATCCTCACTCTCGTTGCCCTCGTCCATCTCATTATCGCCATTGCCGAGAGCTTTAAGCACCGCAGTACGACCACCCTCGTTCTCTTCAACCCTCCCAGAACTAGCCTGGACCAGTCGCATAAGGAGTGCTGACACCGGTTGAATGCTTCCACCTTCGGAGAGCTTGAAATGCCGTGCGCTCTGTTTTCCCACGGGAAGCTTCTCCAGAGAGGTGAGGATATCGTCAATGATGCCCTGTCGCTGCTCAGGTTTGATAAGAAATATTTGGCAGAGCATGTCCATAGCAACGCTGCGAATTCCATCAAAGCGCTGTACTCCGACGGCTGAGTCTTTCTCAAAATAGGCGTTTTCGACAAAGATGAGCTTGGACGCGGTAAATTCCAGAGTGTTGAAGACGCTTTCCGAAAGCTCTACTTTCGTCACCAGCTCGGCAAGTGTGGCAAACAACTTCTGGCAGTTGAGGAAAGTAGACGACACAGCCTTTTTATGCTTTAGGACCATTCGGAATAAGTTGGCAGATGTTGAGTTTCGAAGCTCGACGAGGGGGATGATGATGTCTTCGGTGACAGTCTTGAAGATGTTGACACATCTGTTGATGATGCTTTCCGAGTAGAGCCGCTTGTCTTCTAGGCCTCCAGACAAGATTCGCAGACAGGTACGTGCAGCTTTCATTCCTACTTCAACTTCTGCCAGCTGCTGAACCCACGATTCAAAGGCGGCTTCATCCCAGCTCTCATCAGCACGGATATCCATGCCATCGACCTGCTTCAGGGTACCGTCGCTCAGCTTCATGATCTGGAGAAGGCCCTCTACCGGAACTCTACCGAAGCACTTAAGTGCGATAGCCTTCTGGATAGCGCCTTGCATTTTTTGCTGGGTTGCGCCGTTCAAGACGACCTCGTTTTCAGTTGTCAGCGTGACGAAGTGATCATATCCCGAGTCCATCCCCAAAGCTCGACCAACCGCGGAGAAGACGTTGCGCATAAGGGAGTCGAGAGACTCGAGAGCGGCTTCAGCTCGCTGCTGTTGGTCAAGACCGCCGCTGCTAACGAGGCCTTGGTCCCCTAGGGCCATATACCGCTCCTTCTTACGCGAAGAAAGGTTCTCAGGAGCGGATGGTATATGGGCAACCTCTAGGTACTCGTCCCTCTTGATATGAGACAAAGGAAGCTCGACTCGAAACGAGGCAGGATTGTAATTCAGATAGTTTGTATCGGAGGATACAGAGACTGCAGTTAAATTACCATCCGGGCTGGCAGGTAATGCCGAGGGTGCTTGCTGCACCGAGGTGTCGGACTCGATCTGGATTTGAGAAGTAGTTGCGTCAACATAGGCAGAGGGGTCAAACCCTCCTCTTCTGGACGGAATAAGCACTTCTATCCTTGACTGTGGCTTCGATGCCTCGTGGTTGTTTGTGCGCCCTGGCTGGTTCTCTATGCCGCCGGGCTGTATTGCCATGTCCTGTGATACGGTTCCGTTCTTGCCGCCGTTAACGCCAACAGGCGAAGGGTTCACAACATTGGGCTTCGTAGCCTTGAAATAGCCTCCGACCTTCTCATAAACGGCCCGTGCAATAGGCGATAGTCCCTGTGAAATACTTCCAGGCCGGGATGTTGCTTGCCCTGTCAACACGGGCTTGAAGTTGCTGCCAAAAACGTAAGCAGAGGCACTCGGGACCGAATTTGAGAAGCAGTTTGTCTCAAACTTACTAGTGCGTTCTTTGGGATGGCTTTATTTCGTGCAGCACAAGATCAACGGCCTGCTTTGTGTTTCTCGGTAGGTGAGCCTGCCCGAGGGCTTCTCTGTTGAGTCGGTCGAAGTCGCTGTGGGGGAAGAGATCGGATATGGATGGAGCTGGCGAGCCAAAACCTATGTTGGGATCGGGGATGATTTCTAGGAGGAGGGAATGAGTAGCTGTAAAATGGTAGAGTGTAGATGGATGCAAGAAAGGTAGAAAGTAGTAGAAATATCAAGCAGAGGTAGTGCAGCGACTGACCAGGAACAAACGGCACAGTGGAGGTTTGGGGTGAGTACGGCAAAGATTCTTGCAACGTGAAAGGTCGTGAAATCGCGTTTTGCGAGGCGGCCGCGCTGTGGTTGGCGCTTGGCCCATCCTCGTAGTCCATGTTGCGCGGCTGCATGTTTGTGTTTGCCAGAGTCTCGATGTTGGCGAGGCCTCACCAGAGACGCATTGTCGGTTACAGGAGCCACTGGTGCATCAGCCGCTCCTCCCAGCGTGTCATGGAAAAGAAGCTGCGAGATTTGAACACGGGCGGAACGAGCGAGGCTTGAGCTTGAGGCCGAAAAGGAGAGACTCGTGGCGTCGAGACGGATTCCGGGGCGAACTCGCACGGCATTAATAGAAACGAGTGCGGCTTCAATGCGTGCCCAAACGCTGCCAGTTGGGTATTGCTTCAGTCGAATCTTCGAATCACGCGCTGGAGAATCCGACAGCCTCGCTGGACCAATCTCGAAAGTCCATAGGGGATCCAATGGCCCGTGCGCCCCGGCGAGCGCCAATCAGCGGCGCTTCCGGAGCCGGTACCTTGCTTTATCAGTTATTCCGGATTATCAACCCCCTGCAAGGCCTGCAAGATCTTTTGCCAGTTGTCTTGCATGACAATTTTTGTACAGCTGGTTCCACGCGATCCCTCCCATTGCACAAGTAGACTTCGTCATAGGCTCTGCGCTGGCAACCCGACAATAAGAAAATGGCTGCCATTGGGTCCATGGTGTTCTGCACCGACTGCGGAAATTTGCTTCCGGCGACCAGAGGAACCGAGCAGAATGTGCTGAGCTGCGAGTGCTGTAGCGCCGAAAATAAAGGTAGGATTGGCTCCGGATTGGGCAGCAGTTCGTTTTGGAGTAGAGGGAGAGAGAAAATTTTTAACAAATGAGCTTCTCAGATACCGGCGCAAAGATCATTGTGACACAGTCCAAGCCCTCGGATTTCCCTTCGTTCTTGCGGCAAAAGCTCCAGTCCAGCGTCCAATCCGTCGAGCGTCACACACTCAACACCGAGAGCACGGTTCGCGAGCGATGTCCCAACTGCGGCCGAGAAGAAGTCAAATACACAACGGTGCAACTACGAAGTGCCGACGAAGGCTCAACCGTTATATATAACTGCGAGTGTGGATTCAGTTGGCACGAAAACAATTAAAATTCACATCTTTTATATTTGGGAAATTCTACTCTTTGTAACACGGGATTTTTCTTTATATTTTTTTTCGTCCTTTCTTCTATGCAGAGGCGCCGGCCACTTCTGGGATCAACGCATATTCCGTCTGGCCACCCCTCTCATACTCGGCCATGTCTAATGCTACAATGACACTCTCACGAACAACCTGCTCCTTGTCTTGGAGGAACCGTTTCAAGATATCCTCGACGCCCTCTTCGTCACCAAGACTGCCTAGAGCCTCGGCAGCCTCATGACGCACCATGCTCACCTCTTCAAGGTTGCTGAGGGCCTCGGTCAGGGCAGGGATAGACGCAGGATGTGAAAGCTGGCCAAAGACGAAGGCAATCTCGTGGCGGAAAAGTGCTGAGGAGTCGGCGAATCCCTTGGCGAGGGCGTTGACGGCAGGGACGGCAGTCGGGCAGTCTGGAGGGGAAGCGAGGTCGCGGAGGGCAAACATGGCACGGTATCGCATGAAGAGAGGCTGGTTGACATCCATCAAGACTCTGCCAAGTTCGTCAACCGACTTTTCGGACTCGGGCATAGGGGGTGCCGGGTCGACTGAAGCAAAGTCGCTAGAGAAATGCATTAGCGAAATTCAAGACCATCAAGAATACAAAGGATTGGCATAGATTTACCTTTGACGCAGCTTCTCTTGCTTCCTTGCCTCGGAGTTTTCCCATTCAATGCGATCAATGGCAATCTCACAGGTCTCCGTAACAACGACTTCCTCACCAGCACGGTCTCTGAATTGTCGGAGCAGATCCAAGCTAGAGGCATTGCCTAGGGCTCCCAGAGCTTCAGCGGCCTCATGTCTGCACATGGGGTCCTCCTTGAGATCTGACAGGACATCGCGCAGCGGTGGAATAGCCGCCTCGTTACCGGTCTGGCCAAGGCAATATGCGAGCTCGTGCTTCAGCAGAGCAGACGGCGAAGCGAAAGCAGCGGCGATGGCTTCGATAGCCGCAAGGGCGGATTCGGGGTCGGTTTTGGCGACATGTTTGAGAGAGAACAGGGCACGGAAGCGCACGGGGAGGGGCGTGTCTTCAGAGCAGAGGCTCTGCCTGAGGCTGGCGACAGTAGCGTTAGACATGACGAATTCCAATTTCTATAAAGTTGAGGGTATCTCGAACAAGCAAACGACCAAAAAAGACAAGTTTGCACGGCTCGTAAACCGAGATGCACGCATCTATCCAACGAAAATTTAGGTGGGGTGGTGGGGTGACACTCTTTGAATTTCTCTTATCAGATGCCGAACGGCGATTTGCGAAAAAGCGAAACGAAAATTTTTTATCGCCGCTGCGTTTATAGGACGAAAATCAGCCACAGCTGGCATGCCATGAGAAGTGGATAACCACTTCAGCGGTTCCATGGTCTAACGGTTATGACTGCGGATTCTGATTCCGCCAGCGAGGGTTCGACTCCCCCTGGAACCTTGGATTCTTTCTTTTTTTCTTTGCAATTCGTTTTGCAGTGTTCAGCAGTTGAATAATTGGGTGCTAGGCGACAGTATCATCATCTTGAACTCTCTTTGAGTTTCAATTTGTTTTGCCTTTTCTTACCAGCTTCAAAGGTCTGCTCAATGTCCATTAGTAGGTTGTCCATTGAATGCACGCTGTCAGCGTTATACAAAGACTCCAGAAGTGGCGAATAGCGTCTCATGGCTAGCGCATCCAGCGTCTTCAACTCTTACCCTGTATCATTATCATGAAAACTCCAAGGCCTGGGATTCCACAGCTCCCACGGCATTAATGCTATCCAATTTCATATCATGGGGCTCTCCAAAGTTCAATACTTCAAATTTCCATCTACTGGCTATAATAGTACCGTCGTGTTGTGATCCCGATCTCGGCCAGACTGGATTACCAACTCCAGCTATCCACTGAGGCAGCTTACATTATTAAGCCTCCATCCACCTCCAATTCCGGCCCGAAGAATCAACAATTCTCCCACTTCGTACAACATCATAGGACCTTTGATACCTACTAGGTAGGTAGTACTAACTTTGTCACTCTACTCGGCAAGAAGAAAAGAACCAAATTTTTCGATCGTCGAAACCACAACGAACTATCGCTGCAACTCAGGACCTTCCTCTACCCAACCGCCGCAATGGCGCCATCATTAGAGGAACCCGAGGCCATCGCCGACGTCCTCGCCAACCCTCTCAAGCAGAAACCCCAGCTCGTCGCTCCCGAGCCAGAACACTGTCCAGGCCCCGAATCCGAGCGTGCCGGAACAGCATCATCGTGCGATGGCTGCCCTAACCAGGCCATCTGCGCATCTGCCCCCAAGGGCCCCGACCCAGACATCCCCATCATCACGGCGCGGCTGGAGCACGTCAAGCACAAGATCCTGGTGCTGAGCGGAAAGGGCGGCGTCGGAAAGAGCACCTTTACCAACCTTCTCGCGCACGCCTTTTCAACGAACCCGGACAGCACGGTGGGCGTCATGGACGCCGACATTACGGGCCCCAGCACGGCCAAGATGCTGGGCGTGGAGGACGAGACCATTCACGTCAGCGCTACGGGTATGTCGCCCGTGTGGGTGACGGAGAACTTGGCGGTCATGTCGATACAGTTTATGCTGCCGGATAGAGACGCCGCGATTATCTGGAGGGGCCCGAAGAAGAATGGCCTGATTAAGCAGTTTCTAAAGGATGTGGAGTGGGGAGAACTGGATTTCCTGCTGGTCGATACGCCGCCGGGGACGAGCGACGAGCATCTGAGCGTCAACTCGTTCCTCAAGGAGAGCGGGATCGACGGCGCCGTGGTGGTGACGACGCCGCAGGAGGTTGCGCTGCTGGACGTGCGCAAGGAAATCGACTTTTGCCGCAAGGCCGGCATCAGGATCCTGGGGCTGGCGGAGAACATGAGCGCGTTTGTGTGCCCCAACTGCAAAGGCGAAAGCCAGATCTTCAAGGCCAGCACGGGTGGTGGCCGGGCGCTGGCGGAGGAGATGGACATTCCGTTCCTGGGGTCGGTGCCTCTGGACCCGAGGATACGCATGGCGTGTGATTATGGGGAGAGCTTCTTTGACTCGTTCCCCGATAGCCCGGCTTGTATTGCGTTTAAGCAGGTGGTGAGGAATGTAGGACGGCAGCTGGGCTTGGATGAGAAGAGCGTGCTGCCGGAATAGACTTGTTTTCATCGCCGGAACAGAATTGTATATAGTTGGATAAATAACGAAATCAGGCATAGCAAATGGGATAGTCTCCGTTTTATTTTATTAAGAATTCTACGTGGTTAGCTGCGTTGGAACCTCCTCCAAGTCCTCTGTCGATTCTATATCAATGACCTTGTTCACCTCGGCCGTGTTGCGTATCAGCTCCTTGGCGCCGGCGTAGAGCATCCTCGTCTCGGCGTTGCATGTGATGGGGAGGTAGTACAGCAGAACGTAGGGCACGGATAACCGTCCGTCGGGCTACATGGTGAAAGTATTGGTTAGCCACGCTGAAGATGCATATCGATCGGTAGTATATGACAGGCTCACCATTGTCAAGGGATAGCTGAGGAGGATGAATCGTGGGGCGTGGTCGGGGAGGTCGTCGGCAATCTCGTCGAGGGATGTGTATGTAACCTTGTCTGCATCCTGGTGGATTTCGTGGGTGGTCTTATCAATCAGGTCTATTATATTTCAAAGAACCGCTGGTTAGCATCGTATGTTCAACTCTCTCCTCCCCCATAGCCATGACTCTCGCTGCAACCGCTGCCACCACAGGAGAGAGAGACGACCAACGACATACATACATATAACTGCTTGAGGCTTGCTCGCCCGAGACGTCGTCAAGCGGAACTTGCGCAAGTGCTCTTTGGTCTCGCCGGAGATGTTGTAGAGCCTGGATTCGGAAGCCTGTTTGTCCCGTCAAGTCAAGTTAGAGGGGTATCTTTTCAACTTGGCGGGGTTGTGATGGGAGGAACTCGCCATGGCTAGGTAGGAGTGTGTGAAGCTGGAAAGGAGCTGCTGCTGGCGATGTCAAGCCTCCTGGAAGAATTGAAGCAATACAGACTCGGTGTAGATCAAAGGTGGCACGAGATTGACGGGGGTTTGACGCCTCCAGAAGCCCAGCCTAGTACTCGTAACTCGTAATTGATCTCGCCTTACTGTAGACTTAGCTCCGGCCCTGATAAAAAGCTCCCCCGCTAAGGATAAGCCCATTGATTGATTATTCCCCCACATATCCAGTGCAGCGGCTTTCCGGCCTCGCCCGCCAAAAAAAATGGCGTCACGGGCCGCCTTCACGCGCCCTCTTTTATCCCATCGCTGCGGGTTCTGGTTTTTTGCTGAAGCTCGGACTCTCGACTTTTCTTTTGCATTCCAATCGTGAATTGCCTATTCAAATACGGAATCGAACTTGCCATCTTATAGGCTGTTTATGACGAATTAGGGCAAATCAAGTGACAAGATAGAAGGAAGAAGACATTTACGCTTTGCTGTGCCCATCTCCACCACCTCTTTTTTACCCATCCATGTTCTCGCGGCTATCACAGGCTGCAACGCATCGCTTACTCACAGTCACATCTCCCTCCTTCATCACCCAATCCCTCGCTCGACCGACCGCCTTTTCCTTGAAAATGTCAGCCGACGAAAGCCGCAAGATCAAGACGGCAGCATGCCTCGTCATTGGCAATGAAGTGCTCGACGGAAAGGTATGAGATGAAATGAACTGCGTTGTTTGAGCTGGTGAAAAGAAGCTAATGGAAACAAAATAAATAGATTGTTGATGTCAGTATGCCGAGGTAGAATGAGCGGGGGGGCTTGAGTTGACGGGTTCACAGACAAACTCGTCATACATGGCAAGATGGTGCTTTGAATTCGGCATCGTGAGTCTTACATCTCGATTTTGGTGTTTGAGAACCTTGATGGGCTGACCTCCTCCCCTATGTATTGGCGTAGGACCTGAGGCGTGTCGAGGTCGTTCAAGACGTTGAGAGCGACATCGTGGAGGCCGTCACCCGAATGAGCAACCGCTATGACTTTATCATCACCAGGTGGGACATTTCACCACCCAGAACTGAAATACCAACCCATGTTCTCCTGCTAACCATTACAAACCCCATCACCAGTGGTGGCATTGGCCCGACGTAAGAAACACTCTTCCCATCTTCCAACCATGATTCCAATCTCATAGTCATCAAATCTCACAGGCACGACGACATCACTTACCCGTCCATCGCCAAGGCCTTCGGGCTCCCCCTCAAGCTCCACCAAGAAGCCTACGAAAAGATGAAGAAGCTCTCAAAGCCGCAGCCGAACGAAGGCGACTTTGACTGGAACGTTGATTCGACCGCCCTCAGGGCAAAGCTGCGCATGGTTGAACTCCCGACGGACGAGTCCCGCGACCTGAGCGAGCAGTTCATCTTCCCGAAAGACGACATGTGGGTTCCCGTTGTGGTTGTCAACCGAAACGTGCATATCCTACCGGGAGTGCCGTCGCTCTGTGAGTGAACGAGTCCCTTGATTCTCTCCACAAGAAAACAGGGCTGATGAAATTATTTTACCCCGTATCCTATAGTCCAAAAGCTGCTTGATGGACTGACGCCCCACGTCCTCCCCAGACTGGATGGCAAAGGAATGCGCCGAATCTTGATTTCCACACCTCTCAACGAGAGCTCCATAGCAGATTACCTCACCCAGCTGGCCGTCAGAGTCGAACCCCGCGGCGTCAAAGTAGGCAGCTACCCCCGATGGGGCCTGAAACAAAACACAATTACGTTGACTGGAAGGTATTTTCCCTCACTCTACATCTTTCATCCCGTTTCTAGAACCCCCAATTAACGTTTCGTTTCGTAGGGATGAGGACTATATGGAAAGTCTTGTGGCGGAAGTAGAGAAGGCAGTCGAGGGCAAGCGTGTCTCAAGAGAAGACGAGCTCGACAAGTCAGAGAAGAAGCTCTAGCGGAGAAGAAACCTCTACCGTCGTTAGTATGTCCATGTAGCATTGCATCCTCTTCTACAGCATACAGGTAACAAAAACACACGAATCTTGTCCCACCACTTGAACCTTCCACTGCCGTCCCCGCCATTGTCTCGTCTGTTCCTTGCTGGCTTTTGCCGAAGCGAGCTTCTACTACCTACTAGTCCACAACGCCAACGCCCGGACCCTATCGCGAAAGGCCGCTGCTCTGGTGTCAAGTTCGGACTAGTTAACCGTCAATGTCTCACCCAGAACCCGTGGCATTGGCAAGGATGTAATTCGATGCCTATTAGAACCCTTGTAGAACCACCCCAGAGATGGGCGCACAAACGACGCGAGACGAGGCGTAGCGGAGCGGAGAGGGAGATGCTACGATACGGTTGATGGTGCTAAGGTGGGTGTATATCCAGTATACATGTGCCTGTGGCTCTGTCCAAGTGTTGGAGGGCCTGGCGCTGTTTTACGCTCGTGCCATCTTCTCCACGATTCAGCCTACGGCCAAGGCATTGTCTAGATGGTGGCATGGCTGAGCTATTGGAAACGCGTGGGTTGGGACTATAGCTCTTGGTTTCAGCCTCAGGGTAACTACGTCGATGGTTTATACGGGCTGTGCAGTATATGAACATATGTTGTGGATGGAGAGGCATCTTTCCACTCCGTCTAGTGTTTCTCTCTTCCTTGCTCATCTCTCTCAACTACGATCAAGGAGCTCAACAGCAAATGGAAGCTCTCGGTAATACGTCTTCATCTTGTCTTAAGTGTAAGCCGCGAGCTCGCATTTATACTCGGCAACTCTCTGACACATTCAAAGCTCAGCTCAGCTCAGCAATATCACCGCTGATCAAACCCCACTTGGCTCGTCCCTCGACCACAAAGCCAAGGACGTGACGAACTGGTGCTAATTTAGTCATTTCCCCGTATCATCATGGATCCCTAGAGTTGCATCGCCGTCAGCCTCCCAGCAGAAGAAGAGCAGCTGCCCAGTTTGGATCTGACTGGCTCCCCCTTTGGGCTCTCTCTGCCCGGCAGATACGAGTATGGATCGAACAAGGAAAAACAATCCGGCGAGGGGAGCGGATGAGTGTAGGCATTACGTGCATGCTGATATCGAAATCCCCGTAGTCTGCTTGCTTGCTGCTTGACTTTGATGAAACGGGCTGTTAGACGGAAGCCAGCTGTTTTACGTTGCTGGGACCGTCTCAGCTGAGCTAGCATCACTGGCACTACCTGAACTGGGAACATCGGCACTGATTTTAGACTCAATCTTTAGTGCTGTAGGTTCGAAACACAGAATAGGATGTTGGTTCTCTGTACCGTATCAGGTAGGTAAGCTCGAGGTAGGGTGGTAATCCGATGCTACAGTACAGGTACGAGTACGTGTAATACTCTGCGAGATTCGTGATGGCTGGAGCGAAATGCGCCAATTTTGCAAACTGATGATGAAGCTAAAAAGCAATCAATTGAGATTTGCGACAGGGCAGAGAGGGGGCGCCAAGACAACGATTCAGGTGCCTCATCGGAAACACACTATTGCGATGAGAATCTTGCCATCGAGCCCGGCCTGTCGTACCCCGTACTACGGGTACAGGTAGGTACTACAACTGATGATGACGTTTTTTGGGTCGCAAAGATGCTTGAACATTGCAAAAGAGCTTCCCGCCAAGGGCCAAAAGGGGGACAAGGGGGGGGGGGGCAAATGGTCGACCGGGAGGGGAGATTGGAGATGAAGAGACCAGTGGAGACGGCGCGTGTGGAGGTGTCGAATGTGGAGAGCAATCATTCTAGAAGGTCGATAAAGTGGCGCGAGATGGAGCTCATGAGCTTGAGCTTCATTTCACTTGATTGCGGAAGTATATCCATGCCCGATGCCTGATGCTGCTCGAGATGAAAAGCCAAGGACGCGATGGGGCAAATCAAGTAGAGTAGCTTCCCCGAGGATGCGGTCCATGCTACCTATGGAGTCAATGCGTTTATCCTGCCTGTACAAATAGAGCACGAGATGTTTGTACATACATTGTAGCATAATCAGTCTGAACATGCAGCCTGCTCCGTCGGGCCAGAGCAACAGTCCTTGACTAGTTGGTATACCTAGAGAGAGCTGCGAATGACAGGGATTTACGAGAGAGCGAGAAAAAGATGAGCGAGAAACCCCGAAAATTTGTCCGCCCAAGAGACATGATAGATGTTGAAAAAAGTGACAGATGAAGAAGAAAGAAAAAATGAAAAAGAAAAAAGCTTACCCCAGATGCCGGGTCTGCGCAAATTGCCAATGACGTCCACGCCTCCGTTCAGTGTGTCCAGGGTCATTCCGTATCAAAATTGGCTTCAACAGAGTCGCGATCCACCTGCGACGGATCGTCCAGGCTTTGCTGGGACCCAAGAAATCGGCTCCGGACCGAAAAGACGACCGCGGCGCCACGACTCGCTCACGATTCGGCGGGCGAAACGGGGTCCGAGACGAGAAGCTGGTGTCGCAGAGCTGCAAGATGAAGCCCCGACTCGCTCGTGTGGTTGTGCGGTGCGCGCGCGTCGAGATACACCAAGACCCAATCAAGTGCTCACTATCAAGCAGTAGTCGAGATGCTAGTAGGCATGGCATCCTCGCAGCGGGCGGCATCTGCCATTGGCGAGGCTCTAGACTGGCTCGAGTCGAGTGGCTGTGGTGTTGGCCGTTGGCGACAATGTCCAACCACAGGACACTTTTTGGCGCTTCATCTGCGACGTACGTACGTACGGAGCACGTATACCAACCAAATACAGGCTCATCAGGCGCTTGATCTGCTGCCTCAGCCTCCGTCGTGAGGCCAACAACACTCGCCGTACTCGCAAGTTGCATGTACTAAATCGGGTCGGCCTGCAGGTCGCCTTGCCGCTCGTCTCAACATCTGCATGACATTGAGCTCCCGTCAACTCAGGCTTGACCCATGCGTACATGTATGTACTCGTACTGTATGTTTATTTGCACGCCCAATACCAATCGCTTGCAAAAGCCCACGCGAGGCTGCATGATATCAGACCTGGCGATGCAGCTCCCGTCGTGTGCTGTGTTGCCCCAGCTGCAGCCTGCTTCCGGTCGGCGGCAATAGTAGAGCCGGCATGGAACAGATGTACGAGTAGGCATGTAGGGTTCATTCACTGGATGGGGTTGATGGCCGCGTGAGACCCCCAAGATGCTCGTATGAATGCGGTCGAGATGGAGGAGCACACACATTCACGCACGCCCAATACCTACACCAGCAACTGTCCATCCATCCATCCATCCATCCATCCATGGATCGAATCGGTCTTTGCACTTTTGGGCAAATGTCGAACAAAACGGTCCCGTTGTTGAAGTCAACTGGAGACTAGTTTGATTGGCGCAGGGGTAGTTGAGGTACCTGTAATTGCACCTCCACCGGGCCATCGTGCTAGTACTCGTCCGGCGTAGCCATCGAGCTGGAATTGATGCTAGCAAGTGGTAGCACAGCAACTGTACACGTACGGAGTGCGAGTAGCGAGCTGCGATTGATGCGTCAGGGGCGGCAAGCCAAGAGAGACAAGCATCAGGACCTCTGTTGATTATGAATGGCGCCATCGGAGGAGCAGAGGCCACTCTCGGGCAGCAATTGACGGCCAGGGGGTGCTGCTTTCAACGAGCACAAGCACAAGCACCCATGCATCACCACCTCAAGCAGCTCACCCCCGGCTATACCTACATGTCCAGGTACGAAAGCAGCAGTAGCACCAACTTGTCTGCCCGTTAAATTTGCAACGCGAGCGGCGGAAGAACCGGCTCGAGTTGCCGCGACATAGGCAAGCCGGATCTTTTTTTCTTTCTTCTGCCTCTCTCGTACATGCGGGCATCGTACTGTAGCATCGTGTAATACCGACTACCACTGCCGCTTATGGCCAGAAACTTTGTGGCGATACGGAGCACAAGGACTCTGGATTGCCGAACCAAATCCAGGGGCTGGGTAGCGAGAAGCGACGCGACGGCAGACGAGACGAAGCAACGTTGATGCTTGGTACAAGTATGAGTACGGTTGAATGGTCTGGTGTTGAGAAGCAGAGCATCCGAGTACATGCTCGTAGGTACTAAGTTGCAGCGTTCGGTGCGACGGATGGTACCTGTACTACGGTAATTGGTCGCCACGTGAATTCCGGACATTACAGGCACCCGTTTGTAGGTACTTTCTTTCCATTCCATTTCTTCCATTTCTTATTGCTCGCTTCTGCTTCTTTAGCGAGAGAGACATCGCTTGGGTTATCTCGAGGACCAGTGCCGCCAGCGATGCCAATCAATGCTGAAAATAGCATGTGAGTGTCGAGCCTACATGTACATGCACTCGTACATGGTTGTACGGAGCAGTAATTGATGCTACCCGCCTGTGCTGGCACTTTGGCCACAACGTCACGGCTGGCCTGCCTGTTTGGTCTGGTCACTACAAAGAACGAGGAGGGCATGTCATTGACGGAAATAAGACGAGGTGGCATCGACGTCAAAGGAGGTTTTGTCGGTCAAAGGCGGCATCCAAATCCAAGGCACGGAGACACCACGGATGTCGCCTGTCAGAGTGAGAGTGCACGTGCTTGGTCAAAGAGACGGAGGATCTGCCCAATCCTTTGCCTCTGGCTGCCGTGAGCCCTGAAAGGAGAAGTTGGAGGAATAGGAGCTGGCTCCGAAGCATTTACAGTCAAAGCTTGATGCTTCATCTCTGACACGGAGTCGGGTGTATATTGTATGGGCTTTTTTGTCTTCAGCGGGCAAAGCTAGGTACTACTAGGTAGGTACGTAGTGTAAAATAAACATTCGATGCAATTGAAGAAAGAAAAGAAGCTTGGGCCTCGTGTAAGCCTGCCGGTAAAAGAAGACTCAAATGATAAAGAATTTGAAAAAAGACAATCACACGGAGAAAAAAACAGCCCGTCAAGGTGGAAGCGAGGAGCTAATATCAGTTGATTCATGGCAGACGCAAAATGGAGCTCACGCCCCCCCACACGAA